TTTCGAACATTTTGTTACTGAATACCGATTCAGTTTTTCTCTTGAGAGTAGATAACATTACACTCTTCATGATTCAGTTTCATGTTCTTCGGAAAATGATAATATTTTGTCAAGTCGCCGTTTCATGTACCAACTGATAAATATTATTGGTAACATCAGCATAGGCTTGAATACTAAAGTTGCTGACAGAGGTGAACATACTTGCCGTATTGATGATTGATGAAAGCGGACCCAAGATGGACCCTTGAGGTACGCCAGAAGAAACACGTAGTTCTACCCAACATGTAACATTGATGTTTCATAAGATTATATTAATCAACAAATCAAATGAATCTATTATCGAGATTAAATTCTGATCTTCTGATCGCGTGTACCATCACGACTGTTCCCAGTTTTTCTGACGATGGAAGTGTATTAGTGAAATATTGAGTATTGGCGCAATCTCGAAATCGACCTGGTAGATCGCAGTGGGCCGGTTCATCACGCGATCCTGCTTCCAGGGGGTCGATCGCAATCGCAGAGTTCATACGTAGATATCGACCAAACTTCGAGGAGGTCTCCACTATCGCTGGAAAATACGATAGCAACTCAGAGAGAAATAATCGAATGCTCGGCTTTTGAAAGAAGGGTGATCACCTGAGGTACACCAAAATACTAGTACAGGGTGTTTTGTAAAGTTCTGATGCAAGCGATCTTTCGTCATCTAATCAAGGAAATTGATTGGTTATCGATATTGTGACAATACAGAACGTATTTGCGAATAAGTACCTAACATTATATTATAAGCAGGTCGTAGCGTGGATGATGCTGAAAATTCACGTCATAATTGCGTGGACTGTTTCTATTCAGCACAAACCTACTGAAGAATCCCTAAAGACTTCATTCGTGATAATTTCAACTTGGAAGTGAAATTAGAACAGGATACGAATCATTTGCATATCATTTTTTTCAGATCACGTATCGCTAGACGACTCTCGCGAAGAAATTTATATAATGTGTGGAGAATGTTGGGAAGACGATCGTGGTTTTCTAATTGGTGACGAATATAGTGAGGTATGCAATAGTCGCTGTAGAGGAGGATAGATTTATGTATCCTTGAGACCCCTGTGGACTTGATCGATCGATTGTTGGACACCGTGCGCTTCAATCGATAAAAAAATTGATAATTGAATGAAATTACCAAAGAAATACATCAGAAAACCAGCTACTCGAGAAACCGTCGATAAAAATCCCCGATGATAACAGAGAAACATTTTCTGTTATAATGGACTTCAACTAGAGCTTCTTACAAGAATGTAGATCCAAGGCAAGGTCTGAATACCAATATTCACACACACACTCCTCGTATATAGAATGGAGATATGATGGATGAAGGGCACTACGCAAAAGAGAACATCTAATCGAAGATTTCCTTCTACAGTTCTCAATATTTTAATTACATTTGGAGATTCCGATTTTTGAAAGCTCAAAACCTGGAATCAATCACCCTATACGTTATGGAAGGCTAAAATTTGAAATCTCTGGTACTGATACGCTTCAACAGAAAGATCAGATTACTAAGGTGGATTAGAAATCCATGGACGTTCGAAAACGAGAATTAGGTGAAGGAATAGTAAAAAATATTATGTGCACTTGACGTGTGCAGCAGGGGTCGACAAAAGCTCACTGGGGCCTACTTGCTAGGCAACCGCCTCTCCTTTATCTTCTACTACTAGTATGTACCTACCTATGAAGAATCAATTGACAAAATTATATTTCTTTATCACTTGTAGTATCTCGAGGTTAATATAAAATGGAAGAATATAGTATGTGACATTTAATTTTTTTTTCAATTTCTAGTATTTTCATTTTAATAGTGGGGCTGAAAGACTTCGGTCAATGGCTTTTTGGGGTATATCCCTAATAAAGATGTTCTCTCTCTCTCTCTCTCTCTCTCATTTTAATATAATATGTAGAAATCAGGAATCTATTATTGGTATCGAAACTGCGACCCAAAATAAATTTACTCAAGAACCTAACCTGAACAAATGAATTATAAAATTATTCAATTTCCGAATACAATCTTGTGTGAAATTTCCTTACCGAATACCACACGAGGTCAAATCACTTCCCTGGAATTTTTTCTCGCTCATGAATATTTCGAAAATCATTCCTCGTTGTCGACTCGGAATAATTTTCAAAATATGCATGAGCTTGAAAGAATTTTTGATGATAATTTGAACTCCAATAACTCTTTCATGATCGTGTTTCAAAATATGTTATCTTTTTTATCATGGATTCATTGGAAGTATAGCACTCGGCTAACATCTCTTCGCGTCCATCTCGAGCTCATTTGGTGATAAATAGCTCCTTTTCTTTCATCAAGTGCTATTTCATTAGCCGTGTCCGGTGTTTACAACTACACGTTCTTAAAGTTTCTGAACCCGTCGTATATCACCCATTTCGGGGCAGGAGCGCAAAGGGCGGCTTTAGAAGATATATATGACCCACAGTGTGCTGCGCTACCGTTCGCTCTAAATCGTTCACCTAAGCAAGGCTTATGAGGAGATATTACAGCGTGGCGTGGCGAATACCTTGTTAATGAGATTAGGCGTCATGACTATGACAAAAATCTTTTGAAACAGGGAGATGTACTAGATTTGGAAGTGGTTCAAACGACTTGGCTGCATTACATACAATTAATTATCTGGGTATCAGGAAACAAGAAACACCAAAAGTTATCTCCGTAATATTCTGTCTCAAGATTATCTGAACATTATAGATGGATAGATAGATAGATAGATAGAGAGATCAATTCATGTTACTAGACAAAAGTGTTTATACACACGTCCATGAATCAAAGAAATGAAATAAATATAATGAGACATATAAACATAAAACAATGACAAAATAGTTTGAAGTTTAGTTTCGACGTGGAAAAAATACTAGATATTCATCGAATGTGTAAAACTTTCTTCAGAATATTCTTGACCCGATTCTTGAATTCCTGTAAACTCATAGATCGACCTCTGAGTCCGTCAGGAAGAAGATTGAAAACTGTCATGGCAAGATATTCGAATGAAGATTTGGTTTTTGCAATCCTTGTTTTGGTAATCTTATATTCATATTTCCTCTTGTATTATAACTACGTATATCTCCATTTCTAGTTATTGTAGATCGAGTATCAGACAGTTCTTTCGTCATGTGAATGAGACATTCGTATACGAAGCATGAGGCTAGTGTTGAAATTTTGAATCGATTGAATAATGATTTGCAATGTTCTGTATAACTCACTCCTGCCATTATCCTCAGAACTTTTTTTTATGTAAAATGAAATTTTTTTTAGAATGAGTTAATGCACCTCACACTATCGCGGCATATGTCATTACTGAATGGAATATTGAGAAATAAGAAACTCTGAGATATTCATCAGTCGGTTAACCTTCAATATATAGGTTGATGTTGCTAGACACTTACATAATTGATCAATGTGAAGCAAAAAATTCAGACCTGCATCTAGATGTACCCCACGCAATTCAACCACGGTTCCGTCTGAACCATTGTTTAACTTGAAATTCAGAACTTGAGTCTTTTTATTATTGAGAGTAAGATAATCACTTTCATTTCAATTTTGAATCATTTGTTCAGTCTTGAACATCTTGTCATTGAGGGTTTTTTCATTTTGATCACAGTGGATTATAGACACGTCATCAGCATACCCAATAGAATGTATACCTTCACTAACATGATTTTAGTTGAACATCAAATCATTGACATAGATAATGAGGAGATCAGGACCTAAAACTGATCCCTGAGGTATTCCGGGCTCTGTTGTTACGAAGTCAGATACGACGTCTTGCAATTTGACTCTAGCTTTTTCATCCGTGAGATAAGACATGAAAAAGTTCAGCTGCATGCCTCCCACCCCATAATGCTCGAGTTTTTAATCAAGATATTGTGATTAACATTGTCGAAGGCGCGAGAAAGATCGTTGAATTTTGCCGTACAGTGTGTTTGATTCTCAAGAGCTTCTTATATTTTTTCACAGGCGTTGCATAGTGCTGTAATGGTCGATTTACCACTCCTGTTGGAATTCTGTAAATCGTATGTCTGGTTTTCAACACTATTTCAAAAATTTAAGCAAGTATCGATATTATTGAGATTGGTCTTGAGATTGTCTTCAGAGTTTTCTTTTCTGCAAACGAGTGTTATCTGGGATAATTTGAATACTGATGGAAATCTATTCTCTTCAATGCATACATTCATTAGGTGTACCTATGGATCGATTATGAATTCACTGATGAGATTTATTTGAACACCATCTGAATTAAAGACGTCTTCAGATGATGTTTTGTACACAAGAAAGGAGCCAGAATCATACACTGTAGGGATTCTCTTTCGGGCGCTTCGAAAGATAAAAAATACTTTTCAGGAAGTTTGCAACTACTCAAATCGCATCTACACTTTGCTGAAAACAATAAACAATTCATTGAGAATCAGCCCAAGGTGCTTTCCACCCAAACCGTTCTGATTTCGTAGATATTCTAAACTATAGTTTGACTTGTCGATAACGATTTTTTAGTGTGAGTTCTCAATGAGTGGGAGAATGAGATGTTGAACGTGTGAAGAGTGCATTTTGCTCAAAGTGGTGCTCAAAACTGGTTTGCAGGTAGTCCCGCGTTCCTGAACCATTCAGGCGCAAGCTCGGCGTTTAGAAAGGAAACACTACACTACACGATTTTATTCGTCCATACGAACTATCGCATAGATTTCTGGTGGCATATATCCAGGAAACTAGTTGTTTTTCTCTCGAATCTACTATTTTCGTTCATTTTATGAACTTTTGTGATAATGACTTTGAGTTCCTCTTCTTTGTGACCATTGCATTCCACTATGAGTATTCAGTTTTTTTCCAAGTTGAAATCTTATAGTTAGACAGATGGTAGGTATAAAAGACTATTCGTACAATTGAACAGAAGGTCCACGAAATGGGTGAATACCCTGTGTTCACTTCGAGATCTGATGTCATCCTTCTGTCAGTATGCTATGAAGTGTCAATGAGTTTGTCTATCAAAATTCTCAATTCAGAAGCTTAATATTCGAAATAATATCATGTAAATGGGTATATTCGATAACGATCAAAATGGTGAAAAAACAAATTATCCTTGGTAAAGCGGAGAAACTTCTTCATGAAGTGAACAAGAAGAAGAAGTTCAAAACTGGCAAAACGACTGTAAGTCCGTTCGTTAACTTCCTTCAGAAAATCAAAAAGACTTGCCAGGGTATGACACCAAGCCAGATAACTTCCAGAGGTGCTGAAATGTGGAGGAAAATGGATACCAAACAAAAAACCTTATACACTGATTTGGCAAGACAAACTAGAAGAAGAAGAAGGGTGAAGAGCCGAACTAGGAGGAAGAGAACTAAAAGAACGTCTAAGACATCAAGATCAAAATCAAGGCGTAAAACTATACCTCATACATGATGCAATAATGTCCATATTGTTTTGTCAAAATATTATTAAAGCCTGTCACACCTCATCCATCGATTTGATTACCTATCTCAAGCCTATCTCATTGATAAGGTGTGATCTGTGTAGTGTATTGGCCTATGAAATCAAGGTAATGAAGTTGTCTTGGTTCTAAATTGTGCTTACTATGTTGGAATGCGTAGGTGAGAGGTTTATTTATGTATGTCCTAACAACTCACTATCCAATTTCACAAAACTATAGAATGTGTATGAGATAATGAACATATAAATGATATACAGGACCATAGGTTTAGAGAATGAATAGAAAAAAGAAATAAAGAGTTGGTGAGTAAATCACAACAAAGAGATGCAGATAGATTCCACGATCAAAGTTAGCAGAACCCATAACTATTTTCTGAAAGTTCACATTTATATTACATATCATGAACATTCAGGGAAGGTTGGTTCTGCAAATCTAATCGTCAGGTTCCATTTCTCAAGTATTGACTATGAATAGTGGTTTTTGAAGTTAACATTGTGGTTATTAGGGCTATCCGCTTGTTCATGGGCACTCGAACTTTATAAATCATAACTCCTCTCGTAGAATGAGTATTGGAGCTGATATTTTGCTCAAAAGATGACCAAATCTGGAATTTGCAATTTTCGAAAAAAAAAAACAACATTTTGAAGTTACGTATCTTGGGATATTCTGGAACCACAGAGATGAAACCAAATTCAAATTGTAGGGAGAGTATCCGTATTCAAAAAATATCTGATTGACTTTTTCTTCAGGAAGCTGCTTCATACGACCTTTGGGTTAAAAATCAAAATAAGTCGAGAAATTCCGAGGTTTATCAAGCACCACACTTCTTTCCCAGGTCTTCCAAAGCTGCAAAATTGGTTTCATACTATCGGGACATAGCCTGACAATATGAAAAATAAGAATAAAAGAGGAGACAAATCAATGCGAACTCTGCCCTATTTTGTTGAATATATCAACATACTTATGTTACACCCTGTATAGTTTTCACTCACTCGAATCACAGCAGTTAATGAACAAATTCTACCGAGTTTCATTCAAGCAGACAACATATGCTCTGGATATTTCAGTAGACTAAAACACAGATTAAATATCTGATTTCTTTCAATAGCTATAATCCAAATGATGGCTCATTAGATTATGCATCAGATGAATCAATGAGCACTCCTCACATTATATTTCTGTGAATTGAACAACATCAAATCTTCTTGTAGTATTAATTGAACACATTGCATCTTAAGCAAAAGAAGGTTGCCGTCATCACCTAGCAACAAGCTGTTTATGTTTTCGACAAGCTGATGACATAAATCGAATAATCCAAATTTCTTTCAAATTCCGAATGGATCAAAATTTTCGCAAGTTCTGATGATTAACACTCGAAGATGAAACGATTAAGGAACGACAACACTCCCGATGACTTCAAGAGCCAAAGCAATGTCAGCGACACCAGGAACACCAACAAATACCGAACAGGTAGAGTCACCTGCAATCCTTTTCTGAATTTCATGCGAGACATGAGGAAAAACTCCAGAGGCATGACGATCACGCAGATGGCTGTCAAAGGGGCTGATATCTGGAAGAAGATGGACTTCGACGCGAAGCAGCCCTATTGCTTGCTGGCCAAGCAAGCCAGGAGTGCTATCAAGAAGAGTTCTAGAAGAAAGGGTCGTAAGAAGAGACGTAGGGGTAGTAGATTCAGGACCCGCTCTAGGGCGAGAAGTCACAGTAGATCGAGGAAGAGGTCGAGGTCTAGAAGATCAAGGTCAAGGTCTAGGAGGAAGAGTCGACGTCGGAACTAAAAAGTAATATTTCATTGAAGTCATTATTACAAGTTTTGTGGAATATATCAGTGATCAAAATATTATGCGTTCATTTAATGATCTATGAATTGGTGTATCACAAATTCACCTACTGGATGTTCTCTAAAATCTTCAAGGTTTAATGTTCTGATGATAACACAGACAAAAACAGTTATTTCTGGTGGAAAAACTCAGAATTTTGAATTTCTCACAGATTTCTCAACATGAATTCCTAAATAAATTGTACTATTAAACTACACTATAATGCGGTTACCGTCAATTGGTAGACGAAGAAAGCAATAACTCACTAATCGGTGAGATCCAAGAGATAAAGGATGTATTTTCATCAGAATTTGAGGAATATCCAAATGGCAAGTATATCAAAATTGTTCACATATACGGTTCAGCACCCAAAGATACGTTGATGCTTTTAGATTTCATCCAGAGTGGAGCCATTCGCCTAATGAGTGATGCCACACTCACTTACTCTATGAAATCATTGAAACACCGTAAAAAAGTCGACTACCTTTCACTATTTCATAGATTCTTCGACGGAAAATGTTCCTCAGATTTCACCTACCTCCTCTCCCTATCCACGCAGGAGGTTCTTCGTGCATTATAGGAATTTCCCTTCGTGCGCTCCAAGACATGGAAAAAGTTCGGAAGTTGAACGTTTTTAGCGTCAATTTTCATTTTCATTATATCGTCAGTTATATCTCTTGCATTTCTTGAGATACAGAGTGTGACCCACTTCTAATGGAACCACCCCTGTATCAAAAGTGTATGTATCGGAATGTCTTCCGAATTGGAAAAACTTTTATTTTTTCAACTCACCTCACTATTCACTAAGTGGCAAAAGCTTGGATTTGAACAGTTGTATCGGTGATAGATTGTTTTGCGTATACATTGTGTCCAAAGATTAATGATAACTATTATGGTGATCTCGAAAACGTCGTAAGAAAAGTCTCTCAACGCTCTTTTGTTAAGCTCAAGTGGCAATAATAGTAAATAAAATGAAACGAAATCTGCGAATGTGATCTCTAATTCACTGACGATACTGTTTAATTACATTTTTGGCCACTATGTTAACTAATAATCCAATGCACTGACAATGAGAACAAATAGTCCAAATTGAAAGAATTTTTGTCCTACACAAACTGAGATATTGTAAACTGAGTATATCGTCCTTGTTATGCACTTCAATGCCCTGTAGTTCTTAAAAAAAACTTTACTAGGGGGTAAGTATATAAACCAAGTATATATGTCTTCGATATTTCTCGAAGAGTTTCAACCCACTTCATTTTTCTGGAGAAAAATTAATCATCCTAATACTGAAATACCATGCAATCATTTGACTATGAAATTGAAAGCAAATTACATTGATATGAGTATTATTTCATTTTTATGATATCACTGTTCAATATCGAAATGCTTTTTATTTGACTATCAAATCGAAAACAAGACAAATTTATATGAGTATCTTCTCATTTTTATAATATCATCGTATAGCATTGAAATGCTAGTCATTTGACCCCTATATGAGTGTCATCTCATTCTCATATAAGTGATATTTCTCAGTTATATGATTTTTTTGAAATGATGAACGTGATGACAGTGAAATGAGAACTATACTGTCGCCTATTCTATTCAGAAATCTTTTAATGGTTATACAATTTCGTATAACAGCTAATAGATATTTCTCTCGGTGTAGTTCTCCTTGTATCGCGCCACTGTACTGCTTCATTTTGCATGTAAGCATCATTGTTTTTTTCTCTGCTGACATTGTTCTGAAAACGGGCCACTCTTAATAATCGCTAGACACCCACAAGAGTATGATAATTGAATAGTTATTTTTCGAAACACGTTGGCAAAGTTCCAGGCGAGAGATGATAATCATCTTGTTGGAATAGAGTGAGTTTAAGTTATTGTGAAATGGGGAGTTTTAGAAGATAATGGGAGTTGGTGCTGAAGTTATCTCTCCGAGTTAATCGTGTCATTCCTCGCGTGCTATCCTCCGTTTATCAGCACGATGAACTTACACCTTCATGTACAGTTCAAGTGAAGATTTGTATACTCCATTAGAGCACAAAAACATTTAGAAAAGTGGTCAATAATAGTAGATCTGAAGAGTGACTGAATCTCCAGCATAGTTCCCTTTTTTGCTGTAATCAAGTCCAAATGAATCATACAACTGTGAAACAACACTTATATGAGAATGGAATGACGCTCATATTATCATTCATTATACAAATTGAATATACCCTGTATCAATATAATTTACTTTCAATCTAATTGTCAAATGATTGTTATTTCAGTATTAAGGTGATTCATTTCATTTTTCAGAAAAATTGAGTGGGTTGAAAATGGTCGAGAAATATTGAAGACATATTATCTACTTAGTATATATACACCCCAAGTGAAGTTTTTTAATGAAAATACAGGGCATTGAAGTGCAATGCAAGGGCAAGATATTCAGTACAAGATATCTCAATTTGCCTACGATAAAAATGCTTTCAATTAGAAGAATTTGTTCTACAGTTTACAGATTTAGAAGAAAACATATCAGCAAAATACTTTATGGAGTAAGTACCTATACCTACTCTATGTTGAGAACTGTTCTTGAAGTTATAATAAACTTGAATTTGAGTAAATATTCCAAGCCTACATCGTTTTTAAAGAAGCAAAATGTGGAATACCGACCAAGGTCTAACTCTCTACAAGAGTGAAGTTTCCAGATTTATGAAAAATGCACTTTTTCAAAACCTTCTAAAAGTCTTCACCATTTTTGGGTTAACTAGCGCTTTTTTATTTTCGTTGTGATATGATATGAAGCTCGTAGTAAAAATTTCGTTCCTAATATAATCTCCAGAAATTAAAAAAGATTCCAATACCTATCTCCTCCCTAGGAACGCACGATGTTCTTTGAACATTATAGGAATTTCCTTTCGTGCGCTCCAAGCGATAAAAAAAATATGTGCCCAAAGTACCCTATTTCGTATGCATAAACACTGGTTAAAGAAGACATAGAAATAATTACATTCAAATAAATATGAAATTGCAAGATTATATGGAAACAATACATATAAATAATCACATACACGTAAAAGCACAAATTATATATTATCATTCCATATAAGTATCGTCAATATCAAAACGCTTCGTCATCAGGATATTCTATCGAGTTGTAATATGCTTCAGATGCCAGTCTTTCATATAGTTTTTTTTTCTAAATGTTTTAAGAGAATCCAAGTTATTTAATTCTGCAGGTAGTCTTTTTTACATTTTGACACCATTGTGAATTATTGAGTCTTTAATCAGTGTGGATTTGGGAATGACTAATGATTAGTAATGATAGATTCGATGCATTTCGTGTAGTGCGATTGTTATTTTCATATGAAGATTCATTCTTGAAAATGAGACATGTAGCTTCTGAAACGTATATTGAGGTTAGTGTCAATATTCCGTGTCTCAGGAAAAAAGGTTTGCAAGAACTCTATGAGAGCGAAGTCAACATTTTTTGCCGCAGCATAACCTAATTCATTCGCTGTAGACCTGAGGGCAAAACATCCTGATGCTTATTTTTGTTCACGATGTTACTGTGACTTGTGAATTTCAAATTAGTATCGATGTTGAGTCCCAAGAATTTTATATTGCTATCAGATGGTACGGAGTCAGTCACTAGTTCTATATCAGGAAGAATACATTTGGATGTGAATAATTTTGTTTTATTGAAATTTAAACATAGAAATTTGCATCGCATCATGATTTGATTTTTGTAGGTTTCTTGTAACATTTTCACAAAGCAAATTCACATCTTCAGAGTGCCATATAATGGTAGTGTCGTCGGAAAATAATGTGAAGGAACCAGATAGATCTGAGAGGGAGAGATCGTTGATATACATGAGAAAAAGATATGGACCTAAAACTGAACCTTGAGGTACTCCCCAAGTAACTTTCATATTAGTAGTCAGGATGAATGTTCAATTATGACCAGTTGGTTTCTTCCTGGCAAATATGATTCCATCCACTTCAATGCCTAGATAAAGTAGTTATGTCAGAGTTCGAACGTAATTACCGTTACATATTCGCAGTGCGTGAATAAGTATCTGTCATTTGCGCGAGAGACGTTCTGAACCGTTCGAAATTAATTCCTGTGCACAATGGATCGTTATGGGAGCGCCTACGCCACGTTTCAATATTAATTCTAGGAACAGAAATTGCCGAATGAAGCGACTGACGTCGGTGCGGACTCAGGGAAGTTTATAGTAGGGGAGCCAGTAGCAGAATCTTGCGCCCAATATCTTTTTTTTTTCTGTTCTGTCACCCACGAAAAGGAATATCCTGTAATGTTCAGAGAATATCGTGAGAACCAAGGGAAATAAGGTATGAATTGGCAGATGTGTTCTTCTCAAACTTGTGGAGGTTATATGCTTCGAGGAACACCTCCCTTGGCAATGTTCCAGAGCCTTGCTGTTAGTTGGATGAAAGAGTCTCCGGAAAGAGGTGTTCTGCAGGTCTCCAAAGTTACCACGAATCGGTGCGAAGCCTCAACTCGACGGGTTAATCTCGCGGAGACTGCCAAGGGAGGAACAATTGTTGATATCTCAGAAGAGCATCGTCAATGAAAATATCTATAAAATAGAGCCAGATCGGCAACTTTTCTACGGTGTTCCAGAGAAGTGAGTGAGTTTGTGAGCGAGGCATCACCCACGAGACGAATTGCCCTTTTTTGGACAGAATCCAACAGTTTCAGGGTATGTTTGGGTGCTGCACTCCAAATATGGAAACAGGAAAGGTCGGATCTGTGCCTCATAGATCATGAGCAGCTGACTGGAAGCAAAATAGCTCCTGGCCCGAATCAGAAGACCAAGTTTTTGAGATGCACTTTTAGCAATAGATCTCACGTGATTTTCCTAAGACAGGTTATTGCTGATAGTGATACCAAGAATCGAACTGGATGTCTCCAAAGGTATGGTTACTCCTCTCAGCTGATAATTCGTGGGATGATTGAGATAGTTGTGTCTTGAATCGAAAAATCGTCAGCTGGGCTACCGTGGGGGTG